TGAATTCAAGAATTGAAGTATTGAACGGAATACTTTACAAATTAAAAGCTGGTGAGATAGTCAAACAAAAAGAAAAACAATTGAAATTGCTAACAAATAGAAGCAAATCATTATCTAAACTTACAAATAGATCTAATGATATTTTTATTTAATTCGGTTCTAATATAAGAATGGAATTGGTTGTAGGAATCCTTCTAGTATAATTGTGTGCCATTTTAGAGGAAACTAATTGTGTTCTATTAGAGTAAAAATACGTTATGATATTATATTGGTCCTATTTAAGGAGTTTTATCATAAAAAGGAGCGTTGGTGATTAGATATTCTAGTTTATGGGATTTACATTATACATCCAAATGATTTTTGTATTAGTATATCTTTGTAATTATTCGGCTATACCTCATTTCATATGGAAAAAATGTTGATATATTGCCTAAATATTTTTAATTTGGGCATTGTTTTGAAAATGTAGAGATTAATTGTTGTGAACTGTAACAAACATCGATAAATTATTTACTTATGTTCACTCAAATACTAGTATGGAAAATATTGGTGTTATTTGAGCAAGTATGTTCTGTTTTGGTCATATTTAGAACATTTTCTTCCCGACAATATCTATACATGTTTACGCAAAGAAAAGGGTTGACCAAGCGAATGGGCTGCCCGGTGCAACAGTTGCAACCAGGCCGAGCCAGGTTTGCTCATTCGGTCTTGATTCTATCCTCTCCGAGTCTCCGACCATCATTTTAGCCCAAGTTTGAAAGTTGAAACCTTCAAGCTCAGGATCCAGTTGGAGTAACTAGTCAATTCCCTCCCTTATGGATCTTCCATATCAGTTGTGTGCTAGTGAGGCTTGCACCATGGGTTTTACAAGACTTTTATTCCTCTCAGTTTATATCACACCTTGCTGGCCAGATTGACTCAAGCAGTGTTGGTCGGTTGGTCCTACGTGTCATATAAGCCAATTCCAATCTAGATATAAAAAATCATCTACTTGTAGTCCAGTCCCGTTATCCCGTAATATCCAGCCACCAGCCTTAACTCTAACCAAAATCATGCGCTATTCCTCGGGAAATATGATACTAGTAGCCAGTAGGACTGTAGGAGGGCCAATTTTTTTTGCAAGATTTAGTTCTGTTTTACTACAATGCCACCATTGCCATGAAAGCAAGTTATCACACCTTTCTTCATTGCTCTCATTTCTCACAAAAAATACGACCTTAGTTAATTTAAATGTAAGATCAAAACATAATGTCCAAACATGTCAAATACGTGAAGCTTCAGCCACTAGAACACCAAATGATGTGATCCGTAGACCGTATACGTTGGTTACTGACAGTCTTGATTACACTTCCTGGAAGATGAAACTTTGTAGGACTTTTAAAAGGATAGAGATATAGATTGGCTCCTCAAACGGGGTCAAACAGGACTCAGGGTGCATAAGGCACACATTAAACACACATTCTGCTTTCCATTAGCTATCAGCTTTGTATGGTACAACCAGGGCAAGAAAGAATCAATATTCATTCTAATGTTTTTTTACATGCATCAAGGCTGGGAAACAAATTGTGTAGTAAATACAACTTGCAGTCAACATTTTTCCAAGAGTTGACCAATCTTTTGGTTGGACATAGGCTGATCTAAGCAAGCCATTCTCTCCCGAACGAACTCTTGGACAATAGTTACCAACCAGAGAAATTTTTGAACTCAGTGGAGACCCCAATTTTTCTCTTCTTTGAAGAACGAATTGGTGGTGGGAGGATGGTATTAGAATCAGATTGAGTGTTCCTTGTCTTTAAGTATTTGCCAACACCACCCCCAATAGCTTGACTGTCTGTTCCAGTCCCAGGGTTGCTATACCATGACCCAACCTTATCCTGAAAAATGCAGCAGGAAAGTTCATTGTCTTGTGTGTCATGAAATACAAACAACTTTTACATTAAGAAGAGGCGGAGAGGGGATTAACAAATTTAACATGTATTGATTAATAAATAGTTCAGATCTGACAGGGTCAAAGAAAAATGATAAGCATTTTAAGAACTAACATTGTCCTCATCCTCAATTTTGTTATCATCCTTTGGCTCTCCATCTTCTTCATCATCAGATTCTGTATATGGATTGACATAGACTTCTACATCAATAATCTTGATATCTTCCTACAAGAGAACATGATGAAAAAGAACAAAGGTGAGAGACCTACTGACCAGAGAGGCTCAAAACAGGGAAGGCTAAGAAGTGCAGTTAAGAAATAACACAAGCTCCTACTAACCAGAGGTCGATCATTGTCATCCACAGGGACCTTCTCCATTGCTGAAAGGGTCGTCAAACCCCCAACAACCATACCAAAAACCGAGTGTTTGTAATTTAAATGATTCGCAGACTTGTAGAGGATAAAAAACTGAGAACCGTTTGAATGTGGTCCAGAGTTTGCCATGCTAACAACACCCCTTCCAGAGTGTAACAACTTGGAATTGACTTCATCTTTGAATGGCTTTCCCCATATAGACTCACCACCTCGTCCAGTTCCCGTAGGATCACCACCTTGAATCATGAAATTCCTGCACGAAATTGACGGCACATGTCCTTCAATACCAAAGCAGAAAATACTGATTAATGCAGTTTATTTGGTGAGTATTTTAAACAAAAGACAGGCAGAGGTACCGAATGCTTCTGTGAAAAGCCAGTCCATTATAATAACCACGTTCACACAAAGTGATAAAGTTCTCACACGTTCTTGGTGTTAAATCACAGTGCAGCTCAATGTTCAAATCACCATGTGTTGTCTGCAGCCTAACATAACCTTTCTTTGTGGGGGTTTTCTCAACTTTGACATATTCGTGTTCATTTTTCGTGACAGGATCATAACTTGTAGAAGTGAATGATCGTGAAGCAGCACCCGTGGTGAAACGACTCTTAACCTGAAATCATAAGAGAAAGTTAATATCAAATACAAAAAAATGTCTCTTTTTTATTGTTTCTAATAGGCACACTAACCAGTTTAGCATTTACAGGTGCCCTTTCGCCTGCCATGTGCAAAGCAATCCGTGCAGCAGCTTTGTCACTGGAAGCAGACTTTGCAGCAGCAGCACTTCTTCCATGAACTGATGCAGATGCCGCATCTACAATACTGAAAGCCTGTTTACCATTTTCACTTGATTTGGTGTCTTCTTTGATACGTGATCTGGCTTCTAAGATGTCAAAAAGTGCAGCTGCCCTTTCATTCTGTGCCTTGCTTCCGCCCCCGCCTGTCAACGCAATCTCCTTTGCTTTCTCGGTGCCAAGCTCTTTTAGCATTTGCTTGATATCTCCAGTAACATTTATGTTGTAAGAAGGTTCAGACTGCATCTTCTTCAGTTCTGATAACATGTAAGAAGAGAGTGTAAATATAGAAATGTGTGTGCCAGATATAAAAGAACAGAAAGAAGGGTAACCACTCACCATCATCATCAACCTTCAAACTTTTTTTAACATGATCAAAATCCACAAGCACCTTAGTATCCAGTGCATTGGGGTTCTATAAAAACATCACCATACATTTTTGGAGGGCGGGGTGGGTGAGGTGAGGGAGTCAGTAAAATTCAACACCAAAGAGTAGAGAAGACAGATGCACAATAAAGTGATAGGCTACCTGAATAGTAATCAGGTCTTCTTTAGTAAATGGTTCGTCAGTGAGAAGTTCCTTCCAGTTCTTTGTTTTGATGTTTAACTCCTTAATTGCCTAAACAGAAAGAATATGGATATTATTTCTTTTATCAAAGAAAAGCAGCCAGGATTTTCGATCACTTAATCGAGAAAAAAACATATCTACCTCATAGCAAAAGACATTGCCTGTATTCTTTACAGCAACTATGTGCGTGAATTCTGTAAAAACCTTGCTCAAGACCGGGCATTGGAATTCACCTGGAAAAAAATCCAGCCAATGATGGTTTTCAAGAACAACATTCCACAACATAAACACTGATATAGGATTTATAACTTTGAATGACTTCATATACACTGCACAGCCGCATCTTAGTTAAAAGTTTGATTTAATTAATTACCTTCCGCGTTCTTGTGGAATGTGAGTGGAATGAGTTGCTCTTGCTTTAAAGGAGCTCCTGTAACTGGATGCTTTCCATATTTTCTGATATATGGTACAATATTCCTAAGGCATTCCAGGACAAGATAATTTAGTACTCGCCAGAACTCAAAGAGAAAAAAGGAGATATCCGATGCATAAACACTAAAATACTCACATGACTTCAAACACACTCCCATCTTCAGTGCATACAGGGTCTTCGAAAGGAGTAAATGTAAGTCTGCGTTCAAGGAATGTAGTGTTTCCTTCAGACGAAATCACAAAATTTGAAAACTCACGTGCTTGAATAAATACAGCTAGGAAGGAGGAGATGATGGGAGCTTACGCGCAGCAATAGAAGGGTAAACGTTTGAAAGGAGTTCGGATTTCTTTGGATTTAGCGCCGCCCCACTCAGTTGCCCATTCAGTCTTCGTTATGAACATTCGATCTTTACTGTGCTGCTTCTTCCCCATTGTGGTGAGAATTAGAGGTCAACGAATGATTAGGGTTTTGAGAGAAGCTCCCCAAATCAATCGATAAATTAGCTTCGGCAACCTTCTTGCAGAAGCCGCTGATAATGGAAGAAACGTTTCAAAGTTCGCCGGCCGTTAATATGGCAGTTGCCGGCTCAGTTCGGTGTTGTTCTCGTCGCCGTGTACTAGCTCTGGTATGGAGCACCGCTGCACCGGACCCATATTGACTGTTCTATCGCTTGGCCCATTAGAACACATACGTTGAGTGGCCCATTAGAAGATATGCGTTTGGTCCTGGCCCATGAATAAATATAGGAAGTATTAGCATTTTCGTAAATGAAAAGACTCTTTAACCGCAATGGGCGGCGGTCAGACCAGCAGTAGCAGCGGAGAAGAAGACGGCGATGCCGAATGGAGAGCCGCCATAGATTCTCTCACCGCCACCACAGCGTTTAGCAGCTCCGCCGCATCCAACGGTCATCCATCATCTTCATCAGTCGCCCAACCTTCCTGCGAAGATGAATCAGGTGCTCTGAAACCTCGGAAACTCAACCACTACCAAATCAAGGTGCTTCCCTCATTCCGCTACTTCGATTGCACACTTTTCATTAGTTCTAGATGAGAGCTTTTCAAATTGTGGCATTTTTTATTTCAAATAATGTTTAGTCTACCGAATGTACGCCGGCAGGTTCACAAGCTTTTGGAGGACTTTTTAGAGAAGACGATTGATATAGTGAGTGACACAACCGATGTGACTCCTGAAGATCCCAGTAGTTGCAGTGAAGGTGGAATTAGGCTGTTTAAACATGCACCTCCTGGGATAGCTGTTGACAACACAGGTAATAAAAAAGATTTTCTGGCCATGTTCAGTTTTATCCGGCTGTTCTAAAAGTGGTAATGTAAATGTGGTGTTCGTTTCATTTCCAGATGAACTTTATAAGAATAGGAAAAAGCCTAGAATTCTTCCTGGAACAGAACTTGAAGAGGGGTCGAAGGAGGTTTGCATATCTGCAGAAGAAATCAAGTTTCCTGTTTTCATAGTCGTTTTATGTTAAATTTGCAAATCTAATGTCAAATTTGTTGCGAGCAGTTCAAAAGGCGGATCAGGTCAGTTTCTGTTGCAGGAATGGATATAATAGCTGCAGCTAAAGATGCAACTCAGAAATCAAAGGCGAGATTGGAAGCCAGAGATGCAGCTACCAGATCATATCTTCAAAGAGAGGAAGAACGCGTTGCAGAACTAAAGAAAATAAGGGGGGAGAAATGGCTGCCTTCTCTTGCTCCTATAGACTTGCAGCAAAAACTCAAAGGGAATTGTTGATGCAGTGATTATGATGTTACTCCTTCCATCTACATTTTGTAGCATTTTTAGGCTATATTTGGCACAACGAGCTGAAACTGGAGACTCTGAATTTAGAGCTGTTGTCCGAATTAAAGACTATTGTCTGAAACTGAATTATGAAGTGTTGAATCTGAATAGAATATACTCATTTGTCAAAAAGAGCTGATATGGTGACTAGAAAATACAAAATTACTTTAGGACATAAAATACATTATTCCAAAAATTATTGGTCTTCTTTCTTTGGTCTTCTCATAATAATTCTACCTTTACATAATCCCAAAATAATCTCACCTTTGCACCTCATCTTCTTTCATTGGACCCTGACCAAGTTTTTTACCTTTATTTGAAAATCTTATATAAATAATCTCACATTTATAAAGATATAATAGAAAAGTCAAAGGTAAGATTATTTATATGATTTTCAAAAAAAGAGTAAAAAACATGGTCAGGGTTTAATGAAAGAAGATGAGGTGCAAAGGTGAGATTATTATGAGAAGACCAGCGAAAGGTGGGATTATTTTTGTCAATTTTTCCAAATTATTATAATGATTTTGATATTTTAAGACGTAGTAAGAAAATGTATTTTTTAAAGTGATAGCATCCGAAATGCAAAACACGAAATGAAGAAAAAATTATCATATATATGGAGTATTTACTTCGTATAATATTCCTACTGTAATTTTTAATTACTTCGTGTAATCTTATGCAAGTTTATACGGAGTACTTTTAACCACGTATTATCTCCCACTAATCTTTTCCCTGTTAAGCATTATTATATTTTCTCATAGAACTTAGAGACAAGACTAGGAAAATTGACGTAATAGAAAAGATGGTAGTGAAGAAAATTAAAAATCTACAGTAAGGATAATATCAAAGAAGAAACAAGGACAATTTAGGAACCAAAAATTTATTGTCAGCTGACCGGAATGAAACGCTAGCATGGCTAACGTTTTAATTTAGACCCTTTTTATCTATTTCAGTTCCGTGCAGTCTTGTGTCCAAACTGGTCTACTTTTTAAATTAATGACTGAATATAAAAAAAAATCAGCTCTTTATGGGTTGAAGTGTCATGCCAAACATAGCCTTAGTCTCTTTAGTTTGGGTATAAACAAATGAGATGCATTCATATATTCCATTGCCAAACTGTGCATTGTGTAAAGGTAACAAACATAAACTTATCAGGAGATAGATGAAATGTGAACAAAGTGAAATGGCATGTTTATTATCCCTACTGTCTAGGACTTGTGGATTCAATAACTTTATTATTGATTCTTACCACATACAGAGTATAATTGAAGGCTAAGCCAACAACTTTGCCAGGTTTAAACTTTAATCGGCATGAGAAATGATAAAATAAAAACTATAAGGTATAGATTTTATGGAAGGATAGAGAAATAATAAGAATGCCAAATTAATTGGCTAAAATGAAATGTCAAAGTTATCGTAGGGTTGAAATTTGCAAATAGTTACTTGTCCAACTGTTGAAATTTGCACTTGAGATTTGACAAAAATTATAATTGTACCTAGACTTGTAATTAACTGAAAATACATCAAGGGCAACTCATTACCAAAACAACCGTGGTCATCTAAGCATCTAACAATTGTTCAAGGATGAATTTTTACAAGTTACAGAATAATTAAAATATAATTGCTAAATTAACAAGCTCCTTTAAAAAATAAGCAAAATCTAAAAACAGCATCAAGATCTCAAATACAATAGTATGACGGAGTACTTGAAAATAGTACCACATAACAAAATAAGAAACTCTCAAAATCTCAATCATATAATCTAATTATACAAATAACAAATTTATCCAATTTGACTTCTGTTAATAGCGATTCATTAAGAGAGTTTAACCAAAATTTTAACAAACCGTGCTTTGAGATTCAAATAATCTTATATTTTTTGTTTGATTAGGTAATTATCAGTTCTGTTTTTGCTATCGGTTTTTCCTTTGCGGTGTGCATCCCTATTGAATATTGGAATGGTCTTTTTCAAATTCTCAAGTAACCATTTAGGACACCCATCTTAGTTACATCAGGACTAAAGAGGCTAAATCCATATTCACATGCTAAATCCATATTTACATGCTAAATCCACTGTTCCAAAATATTCTAAGAGACCTTAAATGCCACTTTCCCATAAATAAAATGAATAGGGCCTTGGATCAGATGATCAAAAGCTGGGGACTAGGATGTGAAGCCGCAGCTATGGTATTAGATACCCCTTTTCCTCCAGAAAAGATATCACAACCTCAGCCATGTCACTAGGAGAATCATAGAATCCATGGTCAAGGCGAAGCATTATCTGCAAATTAAATGATCCATCGTTATGACAAGAAAAGTGTAGATTTTTACCTGCAGGGTGTGCTTTTGTGGGATTTGGGAACTTATTTTTGGGAGTGTAATATAATTTTTGGGAACTTATAATTCTTTCCAGATTTACAACAGACCAAATTAGTGCAATCTACAACCAGGAGAACTATATCTGATTCTGTAATGGATATAAACACATTTTCTCTAGGACAACAAAGGTTTACCTCAGGACTCTTTGGTGGCTCATATGGATCATCAATACCGGTAAAACCTATACCATTAACCATAAATGATCACTTTCATTCATGCATTTGTTAGCTTAAAATGATCGTTACTAGTAACATTAATGGATAGTACCAATAACAGTGTATACACTTAGATTAACAAACACAACAAATAACGTGATCACTTTTCTTGTTTGCCTGGACTCTTTCAGACAACAGCCAAATGTAAAAGAAGATTTTTTCTGTTGTCATGGGTAAAGTGGATAATTCAAACTTCAATATATAATGAGATGCTATACGGAAAAGGAAGCACCTTTTATTTTGCCTGCACGGGCAAGTTTGTACAATCCCTTGGGATCTCTCGCCTCGCACACATGTAAAGGAACATCCATGAACACCTATAAATGGCCAGGTCCATGTGTTAAGCAAACTTTAGCTTTAAAAGTTGGAATACACAGTCCAAATCCATGCCCTAGGAGAACAACATTAATAGGAACTGAACCTCGATGAAATCTCCTTCTGGAAGTAAAGCACGGCAAGAATCCCGGTCCTTTATATATGGAGATACCAAACTGACAATACAAATTACCCCAGCATCTGCAAAAAGCTTTGCTACCTCTCCTGTGTATTGAGATGAAGCAGAATGAAATTTTCTATTCAGGTGATACGTGATAAGGCTTTGAAGTTCTACAACGTTATGAACCACTGACGGAAGAACAAATTAGAAACATACCAACCCGTCTAATGTTCTCTGATCGATCCTTTGCTCCAAAACTAAGGTCACTACCCAGACCATGACGGATATTATCTCCATCCAAAACATAAGTAAGCTTTCCCCGTGCATGCAAGCCACGACTTAGTGTACACGCCACAGTGCTCTTTCCTGAAATCACATACAAGAAAACAATCCCAATAGCTATTTAAAGCAAACATGTGTTTGTTGTTGCTTGATACAGTCATACAGATAAGTACAACACTGCTAATACAGATGAATGCATTCAACACAAACAAAGACGCTTACTAGATAGCCAGCATAAAGAATGAAACTTTTAGGTTGTATGAGAACATGAAATGAGTTACATGAAATTCAAAGGAAAACAAAAGTAGCAAAACTGTATTTAGATAAAGGAAGATAAGCATACAGATAAAGCAGAAAATGATTGATACTTTATTCGAGGAACAAACCTGAACCACTTAGACCAGTAATCCATACAACACATCCCTTCTGCTGAAGTAAAGCCTCCCTGTCACTCTTCTCTACTGAGCATTTGTGCCAATAAATATTAGTACATTTTCCAAGGGTATGCGTCTTTGGTCTTTCTTTGCCTGATAGAGAAGTAGAAGAATCAGCAGTCAGCAGCTAAATGGGTCCAAAAATTGGTTTCATTACCATTTACCAACGCACATCAATAATAAACTAGTTAGGGACATTTTGGGAGTCTTTGTTGTTACGTCTTTTTCAAAATAACTGCACTTTCAAAAATGAAGAGAATGATAATTGCCTATTTTATATAACTGCCTTTTTCCATCTCCCACTAGTCCACTACATCATAATATTATGCATATCTATAAAACATTATTGAGAGTACCATATTCAGAGTTACTCATCTTTATTTTGATTTAAGAAAAAATGTAACCTTTCTTTGGTGTACAAAACCTTAAATAGTGAAATCCACATCAAGTTTGGAATTGAGGACTACAATGTAATGAACTCAGGGGACAGGGAACCATCTCATTTCCAATTATGATTTGTGATCACTGCCCTAGTAAGCATTTCAGATGAGAAAAATACTCTGGCTTGTATGTGTGAGTATTCAATTAATACAGGACACACATTGAAAGCAGAATATATGAGTAAAAATCTGGAAAAGAGAAGGATTGTTGATGACATCATTAGGGAATATAAGAATATTTACACTTAGTACTAGGACCTGTGAAATAATAAACTTTTTGTGCAGGAAAAGAAACAAAGAGTAAATTAAGAAAAGCATAAACTTTTTGTGATTCCAATTACTTACAACAGTATATAGTTATATACGAGTAGTTGAGAGTAGAGGAAATGGAATTAGAATATAGCAGTACCAGAGAGATCATCGCAATCGTTGGCGACTACTTCCTGCTCCGAACCGCATCCTGACGGATGAGATTTTTCGTTTTCCCGGTAGGTATGCGACGACCTAGAAACTTCAAGTGCCTTAATTGGGCCAATTAATCCAGACTTAACCTCGCCGCCGGGAATGCCGAACCTGAATCCTCTGTTTAAGCCGGAATCACATGTCGGCAGCTTCACGGCCCGCTTTCCTGATTTTGACAACGCATGATAAAAATCCGGCGAGAGGGAGAAATGGAGAAATGATTTGCTTCCGATGGCAATTACCATCTTTCTCAATACCATAGCACATACGCGATGTAGCCGGTACTGATTCAAAGAATTTGCGCCAAACACAGAAAAGAAGAAATTAAAAACATAAATGAAAGTATGTTATGGGCGGGTGTAGATACATGAACAGAAAACATACACACGTACAAACTATAGAGGGCTTCCGCGGATATATGAGCAATATCTATATCCTCTAATTAAGGGAAAACTGTCAAATAAGTCCTTGTACTATACCTAAAAAGTCAATTGAGTCCTTCTACTTTTTAAACATTCAATTACATCCTCTAACTATCACAAAACATTCAATCAGGCTATTTTACCGGTTCAATATATACATTCCAGGTAACTGCTGATGTGGACAGCCATGTGTAATTCATTTTTTCTTTTTTCTGTTTCTTTTCTCTCTGTTTCTTTCCTGTGCCCTTCTTCTTCAATTGGGTTCCTGGTTATCTCATGTCTGCCTCGCCATGGATAAACCTACAGAATGCTTCTTTGCTTCTCTTTTTCTTTCTTTAATTTCTTGGTTTTTGGTTCTATTTTGTTCTCCATAATACCATGTCTTCACTCTCTACTTTCTGCCGTCCCCGCCGCCTCTCACTCAGCGGCCGCCGCACACAACTTCCCCGGTCGCCATCGGTCCATGTAGTCGCTCTCCAATTTCCCAGCGGCCATCCCGCCACTCGTCGGCTGCCGCACACAGCTTCCCAACCCCATCTCGCGCAGCCCGTCGCCCACAATCTCCCTAATAGCCGTTGTCTGTCTGTCGCCGACGACCTCCCCAACCTCCGTCGCGTGCCGCCTGTCTCCCACCGCTTCCTCCACCGTCTTCCTGGTCCGCCCGTTGCCCAACTCATCCCAAACCGTTGTTGCTTGCCTCCAGAAGAAAGAATGCAAGAGAGAAAAATAAACTTTGAATGAGGGCCGGAGGTCGTGAGGCAGAAAGCAAGAGAGAAAGAGACCGAATGGGAAGAGAAGAAAAAATATAAAATAAAAAAAATAATATCATGTGGTGGCCAGGTCAGCTTTTACCGGAAGTACCTTTCGGCAACCGGTTAAAAATCCTAATTGAACATTTTCTTATAGTAGAAGGATATGATTGGGTGTTTTAATAGTAGAAGGACTTAATTGACTTTTTTGATATAGTACGAAGACTTATTTGACAGTTTTCCCTCTAATTAATAGACACGGAGTACTACTTATGATATAGGACTTGTTTGTCGGGATGAAATTATAAAATCTATCTACGGAGTATATATTATCGTGCTCTAATTCTCGTAATAGTTTGACTTTTATGTTTGTCAATGCACTATTTTGACTATAATTATATTTAATTATGTATTAGTAAACATTATAAAAAGTTGATATTTTGGAAATTTACATTAATTGGAATCCAATAACATTTTATACTTAATAATTTGAGTATGTATATTAGTGGAAAATCATGATCAAAGTACGGTGTGTGAATAATGCAAAAAAAACACAATGTTGCAAGAATTAAAGAATTGAAGAAGTATAAAAGAGTCAACTTTCTCACCTAAAGTGATGGGTAAGAAATGGGTTGGATATAGGGTCGGGTAATGGGGAAAAAAGTTTAATGTCTTATGTGTTGATTGATGTTCATTTTGTTCAAACTACATATTAGAACGTACGAAATATTATCGGTTGATAATTTCACTCAATTCACGTTAAATGAAAACATGCTCATGTTGGTAATCTACATTGAATGTAGCAATCGACATTTAGAGCCAGTTTGATAGCATGAAAATCGGCTCTTTTGGCTGATTCTGCTGAAACTTATGAATTTCTGGCTGAAATGGCTGCATTGGCTGATTCTGCTGATTTAAGAAAAAAAATTAAAATATATTTTATCAATAAAATAAAGAAAAAATCATATGTAAAAATAGTTAAAATGGTCATCTACAGTAACTTCATTCAATACAGCCAGAAAAGTAATTCCAACCTTCCTTTTTCTGCTTCTTATACAATTCAGCGCGCGAAAGCAAAAGTTACTTGTTTGGTGAAAAAACAGGCTCCTAATGTTCTCGAGATTGTAAATCGTCTTACAGCCAATATACCATCTTCCATGTTTCTGTGCAGTACTATTTTAATAACTAAGGGAGTTTTCCAATCACATAAATATGGATGATTTAGGAGAGCAAACAAGTGATTCAGTGAACCACGGTGCAAATTAAAACATAACGACAGTCAATACAAATTGAAATTGTATGGGTTCTTACAATGAGGAGGGGTTGTTAGATGTCTTTAGATCGATGAGGAGGGGTTGTTAGAGGTCTTTAGATGCCAGCCATCTTAAAAGTGAGGGCTGAGGATGAATATGGTATTCGATGATATGGATGTATCAATGTTTAACAGTTTTTAGATTTAACTTACTAAGTGTTATTAATATTATTAATCATAACATGTATGAACTAATATACCATTTGTTAATCAGATTGGCGAAGGAGATGATAACACAACCTTGACTCCTTTTTGGCTAACCAACGGGGGTCAAAGGCGAGCTATATATGATCATATTAGCTATTAGCTATGTAACCATAACACATACTTCGTATGTGACATGCTAGAGAAGTAAAGTAAGAGTTTGTTTTTTAAAATAATAAGGGCTATATATGAACAAAACATTTCATCTCACTATTTTGAGGTCCTATTTCAGGAAGGGTTTGCTGGAAACTTCTGGGAAGGATGCTACCTAAGTCAGAAAACGGTGTTGTATTGTTTTCTTAAAGCACGATTGGGCATTAGCCAAAAACAATTACTCCTATATAATTGGTCATTTTTACTTCAAAACTATTCCAAGGTCAGCAGATCGACACTAGAAGTTGTTTTCAATTCTAGGTCGAAGAGGTATTATATCTTATGCTTCTTACAAATCTTTTGAAAATAATCTACTTCGTATTGCTACATACGTAGTATTATACTACCTCCGTTCTCTTTTAATTGCAACATTGGACTTTTTGCACTATTCACATGTTCTACTTTGACTATATTTTATTTATTAATGTACTATAAATTAAATTTTTAAAAAATATTGTTAAATTTTTCTCATTCTAAATTTTCAAAATATGAATTTTTTAAATTTTTTACTAATAAGGAATGACAGATATTAATGGTCAAACTTGTGCGTTGGCAAACGTGAAATGTTGACTGTTGCAATTAAAAGGGAACGGAGGAAGTATTATACAGAGTAATATAAATAAGATAAAGGAATGACATCTATAATATATTAAGATTTTATGATGTTTCTTCTTTGTAGTATACACATTCTACAGGGAAATGGAGCGTGTTCATTAAACATTCAAGAACAACATTCATGAAAGCAAAACTAGCTACCTGGAAGACCCACAAAAGCAATTGAAGTTCATTCAATGGGTAAATGAAAATTATGTTGCATCCATGGCGTATACACACTACACACACAACTATTGGCACATTATTAACACAAATTTTGTCACCTTTGTTGGCATATAACAATTTAGTAAAAGAAATAGTCATGGCATGCATGTGGTTTCATAATATATGCATGCAAGGTGTAGACGTGTAGTGCGTGATTAATATCTTTCAAAGTCATAACTTAATGTCGAATTCATTTTTAAAATATATATAAATCTGTGTATACTTATTTGGTATAAATTATAAATTACTACATTTAGTATTTTTACTTTGAACATTCCGGCTTAAAAGTAAATAATAGAAACCTTTGAATTTAAATATAGAGTAGTATTTAAGAAAGAAAAAATAATTAAAATACCTCAAACTTTGAAGGGGTGAGAGATAAACACCCTAAACTTTTATATTTAATTTAAATACTTCAAACTTTATATTAAAAGTTATTTTAACACAATGGTCATGCATCATTTCAAAAGTTTATGATGTTAATTGCATAATTCAAAATAGCAATTAAATTGAAAACATTTCAATTTTATAGAATTGGGGGGTATACTATTTAATTTAAAATGAAAGATTAGAATGCTAATTATATATTCAAGAATGCTAAAATGTTTTAAATTATGAAATTTACACCAATTATTAACATTTTTTAAAAAAATAACACAAGATCATTGTGCTAAAATAACTTTTTATATAAAATTTGGGGTATTTAAATTACATATGCAAGTTTGGGGTGCTTATCTCACACCCTTCAAAGTTAGTTTGGAGTATTTTAATTATTTTAAAATACTAAATAACATTCAATAACATGTGAATTGCACAAACCACCGCAACTAATGTGAAATGTAATTGCCTACAAAAAAGCAGGCACGTCTTTTGGCAAGATCTATTAATGGATGTGGTAAAAGGAAACTCCAAGTAATAGATTGTGAAAAAAACATAAGAAATACATAAAGCACAAAAAATGATAATTCACACAGAGGAATTGAAAGGGAGTTATGTTGTGGATAGGGCTGTGCATTAACCGGGTCGGACCGTATTTTAGACCTGAACCGGACCGGAATGACCCGGTCCGGACCGGACCGGTATTAACCGGTCCGGACCGGACCGGTATTAACCGGTCCGGGTTTCGGTCCTTAGTTTTTCAAGATTCCGGGTTTCCGGTCCGGTCCGGGTCAAACCCGGAAAAAACAGGTCCGGACCGGAATAGACCGGTAACCTATTGTTCCATAAAATATATACTTCGTTTTGAATCATTAGTCAATTTATATTTGGCTTACTACTATGTTTATGGCTTATTTTTGCCTTTTGTTATATAAACGAATATATACGGAGTGTGTATTTGGTGTATAATTATTTCCTAAGTTGTTTATAATTTTATTTTATGTAGCAGGTCCTAAGTTTTTTATTGATCGTAGTTTATAGTTGTTTGATTTTTCCAAATCGCTTTTTATTTGTTTCTTTATTTGCAGGTGTGTATGCAGTTTATATGTAGTATATTTTTGGACGTAATTTAGTTTTTACTACCCCACAATAAATTTTGCCAATTTAATACACAAAAGATTGTAGTTTTAATTATTGTGGGATACTAATTGTTACGATTGAATAGTTTTGAAGACTATATTCCAAAATTAATAAATGAGCTAAACAATTATTTAGTCTATTTAGCATATCCGCATATAAAATTATAGTTTGAAACAACAACAATAACATCCAAGTCTTATTCCTAAAAAATTTGGGGTCGGCAAAGAACACT